AAAAAAAAAAAAAAAAAAAAAAAAAAAAAAAAAAAAAAAAAAAAAAATTAAAATGAAATGTGTGATGTGTGAAGCTGAACACGGAGAGCTAGAGAAATGGCTCAGCAGTTAAGAGCACTGGCTTCTCTCTCATGGAGGACTGGAGTTCAGTTCCCAGTACTTGAGTTGGGCATCTCCCAACTGCCTGTAACTTCTAAGGGATCTGGCACTCCTCTGGCCTCCACCGGCACCCAGAACGCAGTCACACATACACTTAAAGACGGGGCAGGGGTGAGCATGGAGTCAATATAAATGCTCTGATGCACATTACACACATACTTTTACTAACAGAAGCAGCTATCCCATGGTACATGTATTTGTGGAAAAGCCTGCATCTTGGATGGTGAGTTCAAATGCAGTGCCCTCTGCCTCCCTAGTGCTGGACCTAAAGGTGTGCGCCACCTTGCCCAGTTGATATACATGCTCCTGTGTATCTACGCCTTCCATGGGTACCATGCGTGCAGCATGACATACAAATCCTTAGGAAGAGAGCTGTTGGCAGGAAAGGACATAAAGGCCGAGCTGTCCTGGCAAGTGCTGCACACTGACAGAGTACTTCTGCCCTCATACCATAACAAAAGCCTACAAACCAACGCACCACAGAGACAACCAGAACATTCCTGACCTTTTTTGAATTCTCCTACGGAAAAGCTCACAGATGTGTGGCCTTCCAACACAAGATGTGAAAGGGGTAAGTTACAGTAAATACGGAGGAAAAAAGAAAAACTCTCCACACTGCAAATAGGTTTTCCCTCATTCTTCTAAGAAATAAAAAGCCCCCCCCCCTTAAAAAGGAATTCTTGCCTTAACTGTCTACTCAAGATGTTCCACATCATTGTGTGGTGCTATGGACAAACTTTTTTTAATTAAAGATTTTATGAGTCTATGGAGTGTTTTGCCTGAATGTATGTATGTGCAGTATTTGTGTGCCTGATGCCTTTGATGATCAGAAGAGGGCATTTAACAATCAACGGTAAAACTTGTTTGGGACAAGAAATGTCATTTACAGTAAGCTCAGTCTCCAGAATTAACAACAACAAAAAAGGTTAAAGGGAGTAAATCTGTTTGAATAAAATATCCAGAAAATGATACCTCTTAGAGTTTCCCTTTTGTTACTGTGATAAAATTTCCTAACAATGCAAGTTAGGAGACGAGGGGCTTATCTGTCGTACAATCGCAGGTCCCCATTCGGCGTTTCTGGGAAGCTGCAGAGGCAGGAGTTGCTCCAGACAGCCAGTCACCATATCAACAGAGGAGCAAAAGGAATGCAGCATGGCGCTTGACTGTCTTGTGCTCAGGCAGCCCTCCTGCTCCTGCACAGTCCAGAGCCCAAACCAGGGAATGGGCTGGAATGTCCCACATCAATTAAAACAATGGCACACAGAATGAATGCCCAGAAGACAACCTGATCTAATTCTTCAACTGAAACTCTCTTCCAGGTGATTCTAAATTTTGTCAAAGTTGACAGTTAAAAGCAACCATCAATGGTTGTCGTGCTTATACAGGGTACTTTTTAAAGGCACAGGAGAACCGGTATGCCTGGGTTTGAATCCTAATATAGCTACATACTAAAAAAATATCTATAGCAACCTTGGTTTTTTTTAAGGTTTATTTTATTATGTATACAAAGTTCTGTCTGCATGTACACCTGCACGCCAGAAAAGGGCACCAGATCTCATTATAGATGGTTGTGAGCCACCATGTGATTGCTGGGAATTAAACTCAGGACCTTTTGAAGAGCAGGCAGTGTTCTTAGCCTCTGAGCCAACTCTCCAGCCCAACCTTGATTTCTTTTACCTACAAAATAGAGTAATATCTATTTTACTGACTGTTACAAGGATTAAGTACGTAAAATATTTTAAAATATGTGGCATATATTAAGAATTTAGTCTTTTTCATTTTTATTTACTTTTTTGTGTATAGTCTTGATTGGTATTTTGCCTGTATGTGTTCCTGTGTAAGGTGTCAGAGCCCCTAGAACTGGAGTTAGACAGTTGTGAGCTGCCATGTGGGTGCTGGGAACTACATGTGGGTCCTCTGAAAGCGCAACCAGTGCTCTTAACTGCTGAGCGTTCTTTCCAGCCCCAAGAACTATGTTTTAATATTATTTTATAAAAATAATGTAAAATTAAAAACGAACCAATTATTTTTCTGATTATTTGGAGATTAAAAACAAAAGGCATAATGGACAGTGCTTGCCACTAAGCCCAATGACCTGATTTTAATCCCTGGGCCCCACATGGTGGAAGGAGAGAAGGACCCTTGCAGGTCCATGTCTGGATCCCCAGAACCCTCATGAAAGCCAGCTGCAGGTGTGCATGTTTGTAATCCCAGAGCTTCCTATGGGGAGGTGGAAGGAAAAGACAGAAGAATCCCTGACAGACACACAAGGGCCGGCTAGCTTGTGTACATAATGCTTAATGACAAGAGAGCTTGTCTAAACAAGGTTGAGGCAGCCGCCAAGGTGGCCCAGCAGGTAATTCTTGCTGCTAACCCCAATGACTTTGATCCCTGGAACCCACAAGATGGAAAGGAGAAAAACGGACTTCTGCAACTTGTTTTCTGATGTCCACACATAACCCATGGCATGCTACATGAACACACACCCACACAAGCTGACACTGAAAAGTTATACATTTCAGAATGAGTAAACTCATTAAACATCTGTAAACAAGAATAAATTTAATTTCTTTTAAAGATTTAATGATATACAAAACGTATATGGTATAGTATCTTTAAGTAATACACTTTTTCTCTCCACATCAACATTAAACACTATTTAACAGCTTATCTCTGCTTGCCTTGTCTGTATCTATGAGATACACTATTGAATACAAATAAGCTTTACACTGCTCCCTTCCAAATAAAATTAAAATTAGTACCTAGGAAATAAAAAGAAAGAGAAAGCATAAAACTTGAGTCAAATTATAAGCTTTTCTTGTTGCTGAATATGCAAAAAAAATATCTGGGCAATTAAGTTACATTTTATTGGCATAAAGTTGGATTGTGATTTCCCTATGTTGTATAAGAACAATCCAACAACTGATTTCTTAAATAAGTACCAGAACAGAATTCACATCGACACATTCCTATACAACTTTAAATGTGAGCGCTCATATGACACTCTGATTTGAACAATACAGTAAGTCTTTGGAGATGTAAGCAACTGCAGGTTGTTACAACTGTAACCTTCCTCAGAAAATACCCACTGAACAGTGAGTTAATTCTTATTATCATGGCTTTCTTTTACTTAACATTGATAAACTAATGCTTAAAAAACCCTTCTGCACAAATCAGGCTTTGTTTAACAAGAAACTGGCTGTATCCATCAGCATAGATCTAAGGTTGACTGTTAAAATGGTCTTCATGAGGCCCTAGATTTGATCCTCAATACTACACGGAGAAGGGAGAGAGGGATTGAGGGAAGACAAATGGTTTTCAGCGCAGGCTTTTAAACATACCTGTGATGCTAGAACTGTCATTTTTCCTGTGGCCACAAACACCTAGTTGAGAGCACTCCAAACTGAGGAAGACTTCTGCCATTTAACCAAAGATTTAATTCCTTTAGCTAAATGGCTGTAACTGAGCAGCCAATAAAATTCGAAGACACTTGACTTTGGTTAATGGTTCTGCACCAAGTGACAGGGAATCACCACCCTTGACAGCAAAGTTTCAGATCTCTGCTATAAAAGCCCTTCACAACTTGAAAGTACTAACTTCCTATCAATGTTAACATTTCCCAGCAGTCATCTGTATCCTTGAGGTGCTTTCCAATGAGAACATTAACCTCTAAAGTATGTGTGAGACCAGCAAGCTCATTTTGCACACACCTATATCATCAATTCCCAGCCGAAGGAAAAACGACAATCAGACTTTTGTGAAATGTAGGCAAAAATCAATGATTCAGTACTATAACATCAGACGAACAGAATTTGTTGCTTCTGATTCTTTGGTGGAATTTCCAGCTTGAAGATTCAAATCTGATGACTCATCCTGAGGAAATATAACTTTATCAGGCGTGTAGTCATTCCTCTTCAGATCTATACTCACAACCCCAGCGGAGAAAGAAAAAGAAAAAAAAGAGTAATTTACAAAAGAATTAAAAACATTTTCTACACCAATTTTCCTCAACATGAGTCAGATCTATGTCCTTAAATTATACACTTAATAGTCGTACATTTCTATACAATTATTACATGAGGACCACAAATCAGTAAATCATGGAACTATGACAATATAGCAACAAACACAGTGAATAAGGTATGTATAATTTTGTGATCATGGAAGTGTAACAATACAGTATTGAGCCCAGTATACAAGTCCCTGCTTTTGTGATGTGTAGGGTGTCAAAGTCTTATATCAGAAGATGGCAAACTTCCCGTGCTCACAGAATGTTATCGTAAGATTGTGAAAATAGCTATCCTATCAAAAGCAATCTATAGATTCAATGTAATACCCATCAAAATTCTAACACAATTCTTGACAGAAATTGAAAAAGAATCTTAAATTTCATATGGAAGCACAATAGTGAAAGTTCTTCCTCCTGTCTTTTTCCCATCATCGTAAGAAAATTCACCATCCAGATTTCAAGCGATACTACAGGGCTACAGTAATAGAAGCATTTGGGACTAGCAGAAAGCCATAGCCAGCACCAGTGGACTAGAACGGAGGGCCCACACGTAAGTGTACACTCCCACAGCCACCTGCGGGGCTGACAACAACGGAAGAGGGCATAGTCAACACTGGCGCTTTTCAAACCGGGTAGCTACATGTACAAGAGTGAAATTTGAGCCTACTTCTCACCCAGCACAAAACTCAATTCCAAATGGATCAAGGAACTCAACATAAGACCTGATGTCCTGAACCAGGAACAGTGGCAAATGTATAATTCCAGTACCCCAGAGGTTAAGGCAGCAGAATCTTGAATTCAAAGCAAAACTTGGTCTTCATATCAACAGAAAAGGAGTAAAAAATTTTACCTGGAAGTTTAAGCTTTCGACAGCAAGAATTACAGTGGTGTTTGGCTCGGAAGTTTTTTATTGCATCTTCTCCTAGATTGGCAGGGCCAAAAACCATGTCACAGGATCTGAAGAATTGGTAAATAAAGAAGGGAGTTTATTCAAGTGGAAATGTGATGTTTAAAACAGTAAATTATGCCTCAATAAAACAGTTAAATCTTATTACCTTTTTTCTTCAGCTTTTATCACAGATGGGTCAGTCAAGTTTTCACCTACACCTTTAAATGTGTATGTAAAAAAAAACAACATACATTATGAAACTGACACAAACATTTATGTTTACATACGAAAAAGGATTTGAGCTATCTTATAGCATCATTTTTTTTTTTTTTTTGAGTTTTTTAAAAATTTATTTATTATGTACACTGTTCTGCCTGCATGCCAGAAGAGGGCATCAGATCTCATTATAGATGGTTGTAAGCCACCATGTGGTAGCTGGGAATTAAACTCAGGACCTCTGGACCTCTTAACCTCTGAGCCATCATTTTCTGAGTTTTGTTTGTTTTGAGCCAGGGTTTCTCTGTGTGACCTTCGTTGTCCTGGACTTGCTTTGTAGACCAGGTTAGCCTAGAACTCACAGAGATCTGCCTGCTACTAAGCCCTCCCAACCCCCCTGTGCTGGGATTATAGGTGTGCATCATTCTTAATTACAGTGTTTAAAAAAAAATTGGTATCTCAGCAGTCTACCATAGCTAGGATATGCTTAAATTACATCTCAGAGTGGGTGAGGTAGGCACACAAGCTCCTGGGGGCTCTAAGCATCTGTCTTGATAAGCACCTGATTCAAGGTCTAAGCAATCTGCCTCTGGTTCACCATCACTAGTAACATGTGACGGTATTTCACCTGGTATTTGAAGGGTTTAAAAAAGTCCAATAACACATTTGTTTTGTATTTTTAAATTTTTTAAAAGAGTTATTTATTATGTATACAATGTTCTGTTCTGTATGTACACCTGTACACCAAAAGAGGGCACCACATTTCTTTATAGATAGTTGTGAGCCACCATGAACTCATGACCTCTGGAAGAGCAGCCATTGCTCTTAACCTCTTGAGCCATCTCTCCAGCCCTAATTTATTTTTTATTAGTTACAGTTTATTCACTCTGTATCCCAACTTTAGCCTCCTTTGTCCCCTTCCCATTCCACCCTTCTTCCCTCCCTCTTCTCCTATGCCGCTCCCCCAGTCCACTAATAGGGGAGGTCCTCATCCCCTTCCCTCTGATCCTAGTCTATCAGGTCTCATCAGGACTGGCTGCATTGTCTTCTTCTGTGGCCTAGTAAGGCTGTACCCCCCTCAGGGGGAGGTGATCAAAGAGCAGGCCAATCAGTTCACATCAGAGACAGTCCTTGTTCCCATTACTAGGGAGCCCAGTTGGACACTGAACTGCCATGGGCTACATCTGTGCATGGGTTCTAGGTTATTTGCATAAATGGTCCTTGGCTGGAATATCAGTCTAAGAGAAGACCCCTGTGCCCAGATTTTTTTTTCCCTTTCCTTGTGGAGCTCCTGTCCCCTCCAGGTCTTTCTATCTCCCTCTTCTTTCATAAGATTCTGCACTCTGCCCAAAGTTTGGCTATGAGTCTCAGCATCTGCTTTTTTATCCCCCCCCAGCATCTGCTTTGATACCCTGCAGGGTAGAGTCTTTCAAAGTCCCTCTGTGGTAGGCTCCTGTCCTCTTCCCTGTTTTCTCCCTCTTCCAATGTCCATCCTATTTGCTTCCTTCTTGCTTAGCTTCTTTAGGTGTACAGATTTTAGGATGATTATCCTATATTATATGTCTATTAGCCACTTAGAAGTAAGTATATACCATGTATGTCTTTCTGCTTCTGGGATACCTCACTCAGGATGATCTTTTCTAGTTCCCACCATTTGCCTGAAAATTTCATGATTTTCTTGTTTTTAATTGCTGAGTAGTATTCCATTGTGTAAATGTACCACAATTTCTGTATCCATTCCTCAACTAAGGGACATCTGGGTTGTTTCCAGATTCTGGCTATTACAAATAAAGCTGCTACAAACATGGTTGAGCAAATGTCCTTGTTGTATACTTGAACATCTTTTGGATATATGCCTAGGAATGGTATAGCTGGATCTTGAGACCTCAAAATAAAACCAGACACACTAAACCTGTTAGAAGAAAAAGTGAGGAAGAGCCTTGAACTCACTGGCACAGGAGACAATTTCCTGAACAGAAAACCAACAGCACAGGCCCTAAGATCTACAATCAATAAATGGGACCTTATGAAACTGAAAAGCTTCTGTAAAGCAAAGAACACTGTCATCAGAACAAAACAACAGCCTACAGATTGGGAAAGGATCTTCACCAACCCTATATCTGACAAGAGGGCTGATATCCAGAATATATAAAGAACTGAAAACATTAAACAGCAACAAATTAAGTAATCCAATTAAAACATGGGGTACAGAGCTGAATAGAGAATTCTCAACAGAGGAATATCGAATGGCAGAGAAACAATTAAAAAAAATACTCAACATCCTTAGCTATCAGGGAAATGCAAATCAAACAACCCTGAGATTTTTCCTTACACCCATCAGAATGGCTAAGATCAAAAACTCAAGTGAACACATGCTGGAGAGGATGTGGAGAAAGGGGAACTCTCCTCCATTGCTGGTAGGACTGTAAACTTGTACAACCACATTGGAAATCAATTTGGCACTTTCTCAGACAATTAAGTTTTTTTTTTTTTTTTTTTTTAAACCTTCAGTCTTCTCCAGAGGTGTTAAAAAGCTGGTTGAATCTTTTTGAATTAGAAATACTTAAGTACAGTGAAACCTGATTAAAATGGTCCAGTTTCACAAATAAAAAATCCAGAATTAAAACATGATACCAAGCGTGCAACTGGTAGAGTACTTGCCCAGCATACACAAACCTCTCTATTCAAGCCCCAACACTCAATAAACTGTGAAGGTGGCACATTCCTGTATTCAAGGTAATTCTTGAACACAGCAATTTGGAGGTCAGCCTGGGATACATGAGACCCTATTTAAAAAAAAAAAAAAAAACACAAAAAAACAAGTAACAAAATAAAAGAACAAAAAAGCAAGCGAAACAAGCCCCAACAACATGGTTCTACTGTACAAAATATTTTAAAGCACTGTGTGTCTAAATGTGCATGTGCCACAGTGCCATGTGCACAGCCAGGGACGACTCTCGGCACACGGTTCTGTCTCCACCGCCTGGGTCCCCAAGACTGTTTTTTTCCAACAGATTGGACAAGACTGAAAATACGCAGTACTCTATCAATACTTGACAGATGGGCACCCATGCAGGCCGAGCAGGAATTCAGGACTTTTTGAAATCTTCTGGTAGTGCTTTACTGAAATAAAAACTGCACTAGTCTCTTAAGACAGCCAGTTTAGGAACCTGCTGACAGAATACAAGCAGCAACACCTCTGTTTGTAGAAACAAAAATTAAAACTGGAGTGAAAGTCTACCAATGCAGGCAGGCATAGATCATATACTACCATGCTGCAAATTTTCACACTGGCACTGAAAGCAGTAATTCTGACTCATCAGTAACGCAGAAGGCACCTCTCTTAGGTTGAGAACATCTATTTCAGAACCCTAATTTTGAAAAATACAGCAAACCATACCATACCCAAATAACTGAAAATAGTAAAATAAGCTGTGATGGAAGTGATGAGTTACAGTTTCTGTATGTCTTCACAAGAGCAACAAAGAAGAAAATACTTTGGTCTTTCTGTATCTCTCTATCATGAAATTGTCCTAGTAATCATCTAAATTATTCCTACAAAAATGGTTCATCTGGGCCTAATGGCAGAGGTCTGAAAACTCGGAAGCTGACTCAGGACTGAAAAACTCAAGGCCTAACTGAACTGCAGAATGTTATCAGCCTGATAACTTAGTGAAACACTATCTCAAAGAAAAAGGATGATGATGGAGAAGAAGAGAAGAAAAAGAGAGAGGAGGATGAGCAGTAGGAGGAGGAAGAAAAGAAAGATTGGGAAAGGAAGGAAGAAAGGAAGGAAGGAAGGAAGGAAGGAAGGAAGGAAAAAGGAAAGAAAGAGAAAGAGAGAAAAAGAGAGAAGAAAAAAGGGAGGGCACTGGAGAGATAGTGCAGCAATTAAGAATATTTGCTGCTCTTCCAGAGGACTGGGGTTCAGTTTCCAGCACAAACATGGGAATTCACTACTGCCTAACTCCAATTACACAGGGCTCAATAACTTCTTCTGACCTCCATAGGCACCAGGAACACATGTGCCTAGACTTTCATGAAGGCAAAACACATACACAATAAAATGGAATTTAAAAATCTTTAAAATTCGAAGAAGAAAGGGGTGTGCGTGCTGAGGAACCAGCAAGGAGGGAATAGGGCTTTGCTACCTGAAGATACAAGCCTGAGTGAGGACTTCAGTTTGATTCCTAGAATACGGAAAAGATGGAAGATAGGAACTAACTCCTAAGTCGTCTCCTGATTGCCACATATGCATCATGGCATGTGTGCCAATCCCCGCCCCCAAACATACTCCACACAAGACTTGAACAGTGGTGTACACGTGTTGGGGGCTGGGCTGGTGCCATCTATTCTAATCTTAGCTGTTTTCTCCCCTGACATCTGCTTGCTGTTTTTTATAAGCAGATACTCACATACCTCAAATGACATTGTAAACCCTGCCTCTCTGACCAATAAAATGCCTACACACCTGGGTAAGGTGGATGGGGTAGGTGTGGCCTAGGTTCCAAGGTTTTCAGAACAAGAGAGGATCACGGGAGGAGGAGAAAGGTGAAGGAAAAAGTAGGTTGCTGTGGGATAGAACCATGTAAGCCTGGAGGATGGCTCAGATGAAGAATATAAGCAAGTACTTTGAGATTATGGATGGAAAGTAGTCCAGATAGGAATGGTTAAAGCAGATGGCCTGGGAGGGGGGCTAGGAGATAATGAAACAGTAGGTGGAATTATCTGCCCAGCCCAAGGTGAAATAAGGCAAATCTAAATCTAACAGATGTCTGTGTCTTTATTGATTATGATACTGAGTTAGATAATACCACCATGACAATTACAGGACTAATAATAATAAACATTATTAGCATGTACTTTTTAAGCCCAACACTCAGGAGGCAGAGGGTTCCAGGCTAGTCAGAGGTATACAGTGAAATCCAGTTTCAAGAAAACAAAACAAAAAACCCACAAAAGTTTCAATGCACAGTGCACATGCACACCATTTTAAAAAGGGTGGTGGAGTGCTTGCCTAACATGTGAAAATCGTATGTGAGGGGAGGAGAATGTGTTGAAAGAATCCTTAAAGAGTTTTAGCTTTCTACCACTAGGTGTGATGGCACAGACCTTTAATCCTAGCGCTACTGGTGTAGAGGAAGGAAGACCTCTGAGTTTGAGTCTGTAGACCAGCCTAGTCTATATAGTGAGCTCCACCAAGATGCAAGGATACATTGTGAGTCTGTCTCAAAAACAAACAACCAGGGCAGAGGAAATAGTCTGGAGCTTTCTCTTTTAGGAAAAGCAGCTGCCATGCAAGAAATCCAACTACCTAAAATCATCCTACTATAAAAGCTCAAGTTAAAGTCACATGGTCACGTAATATTTCAGGTAGTGAACAGAGACCTGAGATATTTAATTCCAATTAAACTTTCCAATGTCTTCAGCAATTTAAGCCCTCAGCAAGGACAGCAGAGATGAGCTATCCCCAGTATTGGCTATCTAAATTCCAGAAGTATGGGGCTGGAGAAATGGCTCAGAATTTAAGAGCACTTACTGCTCTTCCCAGGACCAACATGGAGGCTCACAACTGCCCATAACTCTAGAGGTTACTCCAAGAACTGCAGGTCCAGGGGATCTGCTGCCCTCTTCTCACCTCCTCATGTTTCTGGAAACTATGGGTTAAATGGTTGCTACTTTAAGCTACCAATTTTTTGGATAGTTTGGTGAAAGATAACATAAAAAACAACAGTACTCATTACTGCATTGTTAAAAAATGATTTTTTTATATCTATGAAATACCAAAATATGGACACCTAAGAGTATTATAATAGATTTCACATGAACATGTTTCACCCTAACTGTGATTATTAAGATAGCCAGGCTGGATATGGTGATACATTCCTTTAGTCCCAGAACTTGGGAGACTCAGACAGGAAGGTCACAAGTACTAGGCCAGCTTGGGATGCATAGTAAAACTCTAATGAAAGAACAAACATACCCCACTATTCTAAACCCCAAAGACTATACTGCTGTGATTGTAACCTATTTTACGACTTCTATCAGCCTAATAATTTAAATTAGCAGATCTCTGTGTATCATGTGTAAAATATGAATAGGTGAGAACCGACTACGACTACACAACTTCACCTTAGTAATCCAATTAGTAATAAATTTACCTTGTAAGTCAAGCACCAGTAACTCCCCTCTGGTATATTCATAGGTCCAGTGGCTAAAGGCTAGCATGATCTCTTCCAGAGTGTTTGTTGGAATAATTTCATCACCATTGTTATTGTTGTATTTTCTAAATTCTCCAGTCATGCATTCTTCTACAGCAAACCATTGCCCTGCTGAATGGCAGTATAGCAGGAAAACCTCAAGGAACCTTACAAAAGAGTCACAGACATCACCAGGCAGTTTGTAAGATTCTAACTCATATGCGGCATGTATAATAAATAATCAACATCAATAATGAGTGCCAAAAGAGACTGTTATCTAAATAATACTTAATGTGCAACAAATGTAAAGATTTACCTTGGAGAATATGGTATGGATTTGGGTTTCATCTGATTAAAGGCAAACGTAAGCTTTTGTGCTGCTCTCTGTTGTTGTATTTCCTGCAAAAGGAGATAAAGCCCTTGATCAATATTTAAACTAAGATTTTATTTGGTTTACTCACACTTTAAAAGTTAAAACATGAAACTCCCATCACAGCTTAGAGTCACACATTCACTGACACTTACTCTGAGACAGAGATGCAGAACTGTATCTTCTTTATAAATGCTTGACCATGTGTTAATCACCTCAGGGAGAAAAGATTTAATGATATAAAGATGCCCTGACTTCAGGATATCATGCTCTGACCAGGTACACTGTACTTTGACTGCTCTTCGTAAACCGCCTCCCATTTCTTCTTTACTTAAAAACTCAATTTTGGCACAGAGGCCTAACTGAGACCAAGAAGACATGCTGTTATTCAGTATGCTGGGAGAACTCTCCTCCAGACGATACACCGTGACAGGCTCACCTGCAATACAAATGAACAGTTCAAGATGAAATAACTTTAAAAATGACAACGGAGAACAAGCATTTATAAATATCCATGGGAAAGAAAGAAAGAAAGAAAGAAAGAAAGAAAGAAAGAAAGAAAGAAAGAGAAAATAAAAGCTGCAATTTTATAAAAAGTGATAAATGATAGAAATAAAAATACGCTTCCTTGGGAAGAGATGTGGCTCACGGGATAAAAATGCTGTTGGGCAAACATGAGGGAGGCCCTCTAGAACCCATGTAAAAGGCCAGCACACAGGCACCTGTAACCCAGGGCCATTTTGAGTTGTGGCTTGGCCAGCTGCCAGCTTAGTCCCAGGTGCAGTGAGACCCTGTCTCAAAGAATAAGACAGAGTGATAGAGCATAATGTCCAATGTTCTCCTTTGCTCTGTGCACACATACTGGCACACCGCATGCATCCATATCACAAACATTGATTTGAACCAATAAACTTAAAACCAGTTAACTATCACTGAACTCATACCTAAAGATAAGCACATTTCAAATTACAATACTTAAAGACAAACTGTGTGTGTGGGAGGAAGTACATATGCACACACACAGGTGGATGCTGGAAGGTAACTTTACTACTTGGCTATTCTTCCTCAGAATCCATCCCCTTTATTTTTTGGAGCAAGCTCTCCCATTGGCCTGAAGCTCAGTGATTAGGCTGTCTGGCCACAGTGTCCAGAAATGACAACCCAGGCTGGCACACCTGGCTTCTTCACGTGTGTTCTAGGGAATGAACTCATCTTCTTACTGACCAAAGCACGTTTCTAGGATCTAAGTGTATCTTGAAGATAAACTTTAAACAGGATAAAGTGTATCTTGAAGATAAACTTTTAGGAAGCAAGTCAAACTCTAAACACTTCTGAGTTAAATGTTAGACTGGAGGTTACAACCATCTGTCCCACACACCCTATGATGTCAACTTTCCTACACTTCTGTTACCTGACAGTGGATCAAGGTTTTGAAATAAAACACAGAGTGGTTTCTAATGCTCCTTGCTATTTTAGTATACCCTACTTTTCTGATAGGCTAATAAATGCAACAAACTGGTATTTTTCATAGGAATCTTCTCATTCTGTCCTGACCATGTTCTAAGTTATGATTAGAGAGGAGTGATGGTTTCCTTATCTGCTCTGGGATTTACCTCGTGGTGGTACAGGAACGAAGGGAATACTCTGTGACAACCTCATCAGGTTATTTCTTTCCACAGCTGCATTGAAATGAGAGACAAATGATGAAATCTTTAATGACTCAAATATCAGTAAATTTTGTTTTCAGTATTACTGACCTGAGTAATAGTAATTTGTATCCATAACAGGCTTAAACGGAGACGCAAGACCTAAAATTGTAAATAAATCAGACTGTTTAAAAAGCACCTGTGCAGCATAAATTTATGCTTAGACATTCTCAAATAATAATCTTAAATTTCTTTCATAACCTCTCCTAACCGGAAAAAAAAGGAAAAATAACAAAAACTACTTTCACATGTCACATGACCCCATTTCACTGAGGTAAAACAATAGCTATGGTGCTCCAAACACCTGGGAAGAAGCACATTGAGGCTCTCCACCTCTGAGCATAAATTGCCCTTTTACAGCTGCCACTCGAAAAGAAAAACTGTTCTGTTTCTTGCCCTTTGGATTTGGGGACACTAGCCATCTAAGCATTCTAGGTGTTCTAACACGAGAAGTGAGCTTCTGGGATGTAAGGACACCCAGATCCTCTCTTTACATATAAATTTTATGTATTTATTTATTTTGAGGGCTTTACTTTTAACCATAGAAGAAAAGATGGGAGAATAACAAATAGATTTGTGAGGTGCTAAGTGCTAGAATATAAATGAGAAGGAACCTACTTCACTCTCTCACACAATAAAAGCCAACAGTTTTAACACTGTGATAATATAGATATAGTACATGACACCTATACACACACGTGTGTATCATGAGGATACAAACCACCTGATTAATAAAGGCTGTGGCTACCTCACAAGGGGAAAGAAATCGCAATCTGCAAGGCAGTGGAATTTTAGGGATACATTTACAAGGATAGCTGAGTGCTAAAGTCCATGCTACATTTGAGAGCCCCAGGCAGTTTAGTAGGAATGACTAAATACAATCAGAATAGTCTGTGGAGCTTTCTGAACATCACCCACTGACACTCAGTCCACAATATCTAATTCCACAGGTCTGTGGCATCACACAGATGACTCTATAGTGATCTGAATATGCAACCAAGATTGCAAATTAACGAGCAAGAGCATAAGCATACCTGAAGGAGGTGAAGCTACAGAAGCAGGCAATATCAAATTGTGAAGAGCCTAATATGTCATGCAAAGAAAGGACACTGCATTTTACTGAATGACAATGGGAAAAATGTAAAGCAGAGGAGTGGCAAGATCAAATCTTTCAGGAGAAATTATTTTGGTGGTAGAAGATAGACTACAGGCAGGTAAATTACAGGCAGGAAGCCAGTATGGAATGACTACTCTGAAAACCTATCTGGCAGGCAGTAACTAGTGAATATGAACATATGCATAAGCTATGACCCAGCAACCCCTAGGCATATAACCAATGGAAAACAAATTTATGTTTACCAAAGAACATGAACAAGAATGCCCATAGCAACAAAAAGCATAATGGTTACACACTGGAAGCTACTGAAATGTCCATCAAATAGAATGGATAAATGCACTATTTTCCAACAAGGAACTACAATGCAGTACTAATAATGCACAAACTACACTAATAGAGTAATACTGATGAATCTCATAACTATTACATCTCTATGACTCCCACTTATGTTGTACCACAAACCCACATAAAAGTAAGCCACTGTGTTATTTATGATGGAGGCCACAGCAAGAGCCTGGCATATTAGCAATATTCTGGTTTTGGGTGCTTGGTTAAGTGGCGAGTGGTGACAGAAAGGTGGTTATCGTAATTCACAGGGTGGGTCACGCTTTTACAAAACAACCATATTAAACACAAAGGAAGAGTTTTCCAACTACCTTGGCTTTTTAAAACTTGAAGTCTAACATGTCTTGCCCATGATAATGTGGTAAATGTTTTAATTATGACCTCTAATTTTTTTCACTAAATCTACCACACAAACTCACCATTTAATGTTCCTCCTTCAGATGGCCTAAAGAAATATAAACAAAAAATAAGCTGTGTAATAACCCTAGTTTTGAGTATCATTTAACTTATGATTTTATAAAGTTATATTTAATGAAACATAATTTAAAAAATACAAATATTCAAATCTATGAGTCTGAACATTTGCCATTCTTCTAATCCATGTACAGACATGTATATATTTACATGTACCCATATTTTAAACAACTTGTATCTTCACCTTATGGCTATATAAATATCATTATTTTTTGGTGGCAAACTGATGCGATTAGATCTTAATAGAATCATATTTTTATTTCATGGCTCAGTATTTGTGGAGACTCATTCAAGTACTATGACAATGTCAGGAAATGATTTTTCTATGATTCTAGAAGTACTCCAACAGACTGATAGGACAAGGACTGAGGCATCATTTTGCAAGATTCAATATTCAATCCATTTATTTATAGTAAGTCTTGATTCCAAATGGGAGTTCTTTGAATCCCAAGGACTCCTATATAAATGAAACAGGTATAATTAAAAGGGGAGTGAGGTGAGACCATGATGACGTCCAGGCTGAGGTCTCCCAAAATACAGCTCTGAGCCTTCTTTGGGTAAAGAATTATATAACTATATGGAAATATTATACTGAAGCTATTATAACTAATTTCTTCATGTCTATAAAGATGGGAAATGCTAAACAAATATCTTAAAAGGAGTATTAAAGAGGTAAGACAGAAGAACAAAGTCAGTATTCACTGATTCAGATACTTTTTAGACCACTAATAAAGGACTTACATTTCTCTGTTTGATGGTCTATCTCGTAACCAATCCTTTAGTCAAAAACAAAAGGAACAACTTAAATATAGATGAAGCAGTTCTCTAGAATCAGTTAACTATTTAACACTTGTTTCTTAAAATGAGAAATAAATATGAAGCCCTTGTTTCATACAATTAACTAATAACCATGAAGGGGAATAAGAACATTCAGGAACGTTACTTTTTACAGTAGTTGTGTGTGTGTCTTTCTGTGTCCCACCCATGCGGGTTTATCTTCTATGCCTGGCTTTTACGTGGGTCCTGGTGATCCAAACCTGGGTCATGAGGCTTGCACAGCAAGCACTTTACCTACTGACTTATCTCCCCAGCCTCCAGGACTTCTAGTTCTTCAGATTCTTTGTTTCTGATGACAATATTATTCTCCAGGCATGTCTCTGATTTTATAAATAATTTGTGCTTCTTGCCAAAAGAATACCAAGGTATAAACAGAAAACTTAAAATCACACCAACTAAATGCAAATAAAATGATGAAAAGACAAACATTAAGACAATGCAGCCATTTCACACACCAGTTCTTGTGGTTTCTATTCAGCAAATTTAGTAGTCATGTTTCTAGACATATTTAATTTCCCAAAAGTGGGATTCATGTTTTTTGAATTTAAATTTTTATATATTTCATCAATTTAGTAAAATCTTAACTTGTTTATATTTTTCCAAATTCTCTCTGCTCTCTCACAGCCAATTAAATATATTTCCCTGGTCCTTTTTTTCCCCCCCATCAAAATGTACTTTCATCTACATTGTATTCTGGTCCTATTTAGTAATTTCTCTCTTTAGATTGTCCCACCTGTTATACAACAGAAAGCATTAGGTCTTTTTTTCTTGAAAAGATATTACTGTGCAGCAGGCTAGTCTGATTTGCTACATAGCAAGGCTGGCCTTAAACATGGCCCTCTTTTCTCTGTCCCAAGGTACTAGGATTGTAGGGATGTACTCTATTTGTTTTGTTTATATTTTTGGTTTTGTGAGACGGTCTAATGGTGTGGCCCTGGCTGTTCTGGAACTTGCTTTGTAGACCAGGGTGACCTTGAACTTCCACCTCCCTCTGCTTTTTGAGTGCTGGGATTAAAGATTTATCACTATGACTAGTAAGTATTTTTATTTCTTATGTATTTTTCAAATTGCTAATATTTTTGAATAGTTATCTCTTCCTTATCTAATGTTTTATTTTTAATCACTTTAACCACAATTTATTATTTATAATCAGTTATTCTACTTTTAAGTACCAGAGGTAGAATAGTCTCTGTAGTTAGGAAATTGTCTTACTAGAACTTTGTTGCAATATTGTACATCTTAGGTTCAACACAGACTCCTATAGAGCAGAAACTGTTAATGTGGAATTCTAGTAACAAATTCCTTTTCCCAATGAAACAATTTTTAAAAGAATAACATGAATTTTTGTTTTGCTTTTTGAGACAAGATCTTATTATGTAGTCCAGGCTGGCCTTAAATTTGGGATCTTCTGCCTCAACCTATGGATTATTGAGTTTACAGTTCTGGGATTACAGATGTGTACCAAAGATGTTGTGCTTAGTAATGTGACCTTTAATAATACAACCAACCACAAGTTACTGTTCTATTGATTTTCATTGTATGGATGCTGATTTCTAGATACTTAGCTGCCTTTGCCTGAGCCATCTGTCTTGACTGTCTGTCTGGACAACCAAGGAGCATTCACAAAAATCAAACATTACCACAGGTGGCTTACAATGAATTAATATAATTAGCTTCAATTCATTAGGTCTTGCTTTTCTTCTGTAAAATTTCTGTTCATGACACAAGGAGACTCTTCTCTAACTGCCACCATGTACTGAGGTTAGTTTTCTAAGAAAGTTGTTTTTAAAGCTTTATATAATTGCCCCCAAAATATTAATTACCACTGTAGATAATCATTAGTAACTCAATATACTCATCAATATGCTACTTAATTGAAATGTACAAACCGGTAACAAAGCTGCTTTAGAATCTACTTCTGGAGAGTCTTCTGTAGACATTCTTCTACTACTGCTTTCTGCTACAAGAAATTAAAAAGACATAGTTGAACTAAACTTTTACAAAAGTATTCACTAACAAAACAAACTGTTTCTAGGTAGGGTATAACTATCACAAGATGATTTCTTCTCTCTAACGGAGCTGAACCCAAGAATTATAAAAGGCCTATAAATCTCCCAACCTATAACACTTATTCTAAGTAAATTATCAAATTTATTGTGAAAACCCACCAAGAAGCAAAACGTATTTTAAAAATAAGTCAATTTTTGTCTATTTTGAAGTCACTCCTACTGACACCCAAGGTTATCACCTGTTTGTGTATCTTTCCGGGGGTGTGTGTTTAGTTAGTGTATGTACTATACAAGCCCCATTACGTGACATTAGCATACTTTGGTGGGGGCCTTTTTTTTTTTAATGGTTAGGTAGTTTTGTGTTCTCAGACATGGGTGTCTTTGTATAATGTCCAGGTTGTCTCCAGCTTAAGAATGATCCTTCTACCTCTGCCACCTGAATATCCGGAACTATTATGTTGTGACACCGTGCACGGTTTGTTCAGGGTTTTTTAAACTTTAAACTTGGAGATGTTCCATGGATGGACACAGAGGATTTTTATCATCATCACCACCACCACCACCACCACCACCACCACCACCACCACCACCACCACCACCACCACCACCACCATCATCATCATCATCATCAATTATTTTAGATAGGGCCCCACTTTATAGACCTGGCTAGCCTGGAACCTGCTATGTAGAACAGACTTGTCTCCAGCTTACAGAGATCCACCTAACCCTGGTCTTATTATTATCATTAAATTTTTAAAATTAAGATTCTATGGTTCAGCTGGGCGAGGTGGCTCACACCTTTAATCTCAGCACTTGGGAGACAGAAGCAGGTTGATCTCTATGTTTTGAGACCAGCCTGGTCTACAGAGTGAGTTCCAGGACAGCCAGAGCTACACAGAGAAACCCTGTTATCAGGGGGAAAACAAAACAACAACCAACTAAGTAAAAGAAATCTAAAATTTCAGGAAAAAAGAAGTTCTATACCAAGCATACAGGGTGGTCAGGTGGTATAAACCTTCAATTTCAGCACTAAGGAAGTTGAGACAGGGTACTTTGATGAGTTTAAGAGCCATAAGACCCTATCTCATAAAAGCAAAAATATTTTAAAAATAGTAGTTTGAAATTTATTACAAAATGATGGTCAAAACATTTCAGTAACCTGCAAGTGACAGAATATATGCTATTCTGAGTATCTCAAAGCAATTTAGCCAAGTATCAAAGAATTTAGGATGCTGATTTAACTAAACTTGTGACATGACTACATTGGTGGGAAAGAGTGAAGGTGCATATATTTATTTGTGTGTATGTGTTCAACCAGTAAACACTGGGAAAAAGGAGTTAATCTCCATTTAGTTAAGAAAGCTGAGAGCTGGGTATAGTGGCACACATCTTTAATCTCAGCTTTTGGGAGACAAAAGGCAGGTGAATTGCTTTGACTGTGAGGCCAGCTTGATCTAGATTATATATAATGAGTTCCAGGACAGCTAGGGATAAATAGAGAGACCTCGTCTCAAAACAAAACACCAAAAAAAACCCCCCAAAACAACAAAAAGAAGACAAGCAAACAAAAAGATGTGATAAAACAAAGGATAGAGCAATATAATTGTGTTACTTTTAGAAATAATACATGCTATCTTAAAATATCTGACAGTTTCACCTTTTCCTTGATCAACTTCTTTTATGGGCCCTATTTCCAGAACTAGAATATAAAATAAAAACAGCTACAACTTCTTAGTTCTCATCTTACTTCTCATATACCATGAAGTTGAGACTTGTGATAAGTTTTTACAGATAACTTTCATTGTAATTAAATTCATACATTACTAAGTAAGATTTATTCATGAAGAGATGGCTCAATTTTATCAAATGCCTTTTCTACAGCTATTGATATGACATGATTTTTATGGCTTGAATAAAAATTCATCTGGCTTGAATCTGCTACTATTATACATTGTATAGGGCACAATTATATTTTTGATTGCCAAGTGAACCTGAATTTCTACAGTAATAAATACTATTGAACTCAGTGTACTGAAACTTTTTATTAAAAGAAGTGACAGTGAAAGGGACAAAGAAGCACTGTTTTTAAAAGGAAAACTTCATAACTATCCAACCTTTTAATTACAGGCATTTATAAAAAAATAAAGTCAGATATGGTGGTATGCACTGCAGTACGAGCAATGAGGGATGTTGAAGTAAGAGGATCACTTGGGTCCAAAAGTTTGAAACCAGTTTGGGCTACAGTGAAGCCTGATCTCCAAAAGAAGCATGAGATAGAAGCTGAGATAGAAGAATGAGAAATTCAAGTGCACCCACAGGAAATTTGAGGCTAATCTTGGAAACATGATTTCCTGTTTCAAACAAGAAAGAAAAAAAAAGGGGGCGGGAGAAAATGCCTGATATAGGAATATCACTATGATAAAGAAAATGAGAAATTAATAATATAAAAGAATAATATGCTATCTTTTGTATAAATGATGAGAAATAGAAAAACATGTTATAAATGCTTGCATAAGCATGAAAATTAACAGACATGCCCAAAGTTTGACACTGTGATACAATGTAGTCATTTACCAAGTTCATACTTAAGAATTGCACAATCAAGCTTAAAAAAAACCCACCAAAACTAAGTTACTGTTTTTTGTTGTTTTGTATTTGTAGCTATCCATGGCTGCATGTGACCTGTAGGCCACAAAACGGGTATTTTGGCTAAAGGCAGATTAAAATGATGATGATGATGATGATGATGATGATGATGATGATGATGATGATGATAATAATAATAATAATAATAATAATAATAATAGTAGTTCCATATGGGGTTGGAGTGAGAGGTGGTAATTTTTCAAAATATATTTTAATTTCAACAGAATTTTACCAAGTTAAAATAGAACAAAAAACTGTTGAACAATCTATAAATCTTAAAAACTATAAACTAATACAATCTATAAATGTTAAAATCAGATTTAAAAGATTCTTTTCTAAGTAATTATGTATATATCATATATAGCATATACATATATGAATATAAGGATTACAATACTCCTTTTCAAGGTTATATTAACTATTATTGACCAGGATTTTTATCTTTTGATTCACACACCACTTATCACTGAGATGCTTGGCAAATATATACTTAAAACTTAGTATGTTTGCTAACAGAATTCCTAATAAGGTCAAAACTCTCACCTCGTTCTGAGTGAAGAGAAGCAGAAGTCTTTTGACACTCACTGTATCCAGCAACACCCACGTGTTTCAAAGTGTTTTCAGGACTATCATTCTGTATAGATTATGCGTACACATAAGATTTAAAAGCAATTGAATTTCAACCCATTGTTCTGAGTCAAAATTCTTTTATCTAACTCAATATACTTTATTCTACTTGAGCATTAGAAGATAAACAACATAGATCTGGTTACTTCAGTGTGAATCTCAAAAACTACTTGAAACTACATCATCATTTGAATGAATTCTTTTTATATTAGTATAAATTCTCAAGAGGTTTGGGAAAATATAAAAAAGTGAGGAAAAACTGAAGCCAAAATTATCTATTTGTCAAACCTTAACTTCTTTTTTAATTTATCCTGATGTGGATATAGTATTTCAATCTCTTTAAAACTTTTCTTGTTGTTTCTGTATTATTCATACATTTGAAAGGTTTGCTGTCTTTCTGGTCTATAACTGTTTTGCTGAGTGTGATAGCACATGCCTACAATCCCAGTTCTTGGGAAGTAGAGAGGCAAGGCAAATAAGGATTTAGGCTTAGGCTACATGAGATTGTCTCAAAATTACCAAAAACATTTAAAAGAGGTGAGGAGGAACTGTGAGCAAAGAACAGTCTCATTACACTGATTTCTTCCATCTAAAAGCTTATGAAAGTATAAACTGAGTTTCTGACTCCTCCACAGACTAGGAGATGTTACTGTATATTCAGGCACCCCTGAATACACCATGAGCATGCTTTATATGTCATCCTGCTGTTCCTCTTTGAAACAAGAAAATCATACTATTTTCAAACCGTAAGGAAAATAGAAAACAATTACAAAATCATCACTTCTCAATTTGCAGATATTCGCTAATTCCAAATTTACAGAGTCTACTTACTTAGTAGATATTATGTTCATGTTAGTATAATGCTTTAATGAGAATACATGTCATTATACATACAAATGTTCTCATCAACACTGCATCTGAGCCTGCCTTTTACATGCAATGTACAACATGCCTGACAGCAATGAAACAGTCAATGCTGGATCATATTAGGAGTGGTGACTCAGAGAGCTTTTCAATTATAATATCCTTGGCTATATCTTTAGGAAAAAATCTTATTTCACTGTACCTGTTATTTGATTATCTCTAAAATATAAGTTCTTTGAGGGACAGAAGGGTTAAAGCATTTCAAGGCACTCACAGAGTAGCTAGCTATATCACTATTCTTGAGATAATGAGTAGCTACAGGCCATTTATGACAGTAACAGAAATACAAACTAATTTTTGAGCAAGAAATTGTTCCATATACTACTAAACATTAACAAGCATTTATTTAATATTCTGCATATGTACATTTTATATAGAGAGATTTTTAACTTCTAGATTCCAAGCTCTTTGAGAGCTAAGATCATGTTCTAAAACATTTTGGGTCCTGGAAGAAAAGTTAAGCTCAGTAATTACTCCATAGAAAATAAACAAAAAGAGCTTTTCAACAGAAAAATATTAAATAAATAAATAAAATATTAAACATTTTATTTTAATTAACAAAAATTCAAGCTACTTTGAACCTTGAATCATAACTGGGGTAATCATACTGATAACAAACATCATAGTGATATTTTAATGAGAAATGCTTCTCTGCTAACCTACTTTTTATTGAAAAAAAAAAAACTTTAAATTTTTTTAGAAGAAATGATCACAAAAGTGAAATTACACTTACGGATAACAGTTCTTTTATTTTGTTTGATGTTTCTTTAAGCCTCTGTAAGTCCATACTATCTCTGTGTCCTTAATAGAGGAAAAAGGGGAAAAGGTTGCAATGAAAACATTCCCTATTCGATGTAGTGCAATCTTAGAATCAAATGATTTATGTTGCTCTTTCAATAATTTTCAGGTTCTGCAAACTTTCCTTTTGCTCTTTTCATAAGTCATATTAAAAACAGACACTAGGAAGGTGTCCAAAAGCAAACAACAAAGACTTCCTGTTTAGAACCCCACAAACAATGTAAATAAAACTTAGAATTAAAAGAGGACATTTTCATTCTTAACAAAAGTGAGCTGGCATATACCTGTAATCCCAGCACTCGGGAGGTAGAGGCAGGAGCAACAAGAGTTCAAACAAGCTTAATGAAAACCTGGACTTCCTAAGATTGGGACAGATTTAATGTAGAAAATGTTATTTAATTCTCCAAATAAGCTAACAGTAAATAACAGTATGTTTGGTACCGAGATAACATGCCAGGTTGGCCTTAACATGAGCATTCTACATGGTCTTATTAACATATTCTCCAGATAAACCATAAACTGGCAGGCTGGGAATGCTAGAAAACCAGTTAAAGACAAGAGCAGGAAGGCAATGGAAGAAATGAGACATAAAAAGGCAAAAAAAAAGACTTTTGAATAGTATGAATATTACTACAAAAGATCAGCTTATTTCAGAAACTTTAGATACTTTAATATTCTATCTACCTACTAGGAGATGATTAGAACATTACATTTTCCCAACACAGAACTCAGCTAGCCCTATGACACTTTCTCTTTCCAGTTATTTATTCCCCTCTATGTGGCATAGGGCCAGCATTTAAATATGCTTAGGTCTATATTATCATTTAACACAAGACAATATGCCCAGCTTGATACACTATGTTTATAATGCCAGGGCGGGGATGCTAAGGCAGGAGAATTCCAAATTCAATGACAACTTATATAGGCTATATAGCAAGAACCTGTCTCAAAAAAACAAAAACAAAACAAAAAACCCAAACAAAAACCCAAAAACATCCTAAGCACAAAAATCAGTGTAGTTCCAACTCTTCTTCCTCTCATTGCCGAGCTTTCCAGGCATTTGTCCAGTCACTCCTTTACAGTCTCTCCTTACACTCACACATTTCACTACAGTCTAGCTCTTTTCCCTGGCCAAATAATCTTCACAAATGTTATTAATGTAGGAATACTGTGAAAAGAATATTTCTCCCACCAGCCTAAGAGCTCTCTTTTGCACCGTCCTCTCTGGCGCACTGGCGGCACGTCTGCTGTGGAGTAAGCGGCTTCTAACTGGATCTGAGGCTGCTCTACAAAAGAGGGTCTGTGCCTGAGACTGTAAGCCCACGTCGGAGACGGTGGCTTACAGTAAGTTCTAAGATAGAACTTACTACTGCTCCTTTGGTTACTGGTGATACACCAAACTGCCTTCTAAATGTCTGTCTGTACCCACAGACCAGGGCTATTCTCAACCATGTTAAGAGAAGCATCTTTTGATAGGAGGCAGAAGTGAGCACAGAGACCCACAATCATTTTAGGTGCTGAGAATAAATGACTGGGAGTATTAACCGTTAAATGAGGCCTTATTAACCCACAAGCTAATGCTCAGGGAACAGCATAGAAAATGGGGAAAAGAACATGAAAGGTTCCTCCTTTGTGCTGGTTCTATAGTGCATAAGGTGTCTGAGAACAGAGAAAGAGGACTGGAGAGGTGGCTCATTTGTTAAGAGCACCTGTCGATCTTGATGAAGATGCAAGCTTAGTTCCCAGCACCAACTGGTGGCTTACAACTATCTATAACTGCACTTTCAGGAGACCTGATAATCTCTTCTGACCTCCGTGGGCAACACACCCACCCATGGTACACAGACATATGTAGGCAAAAACTCATACATAAAGAAAAAAAATCTTAAAGAAAAAAGAATCATTCTTTCATCTTTAGATATGTAATTAAGTAGACCATAAATACAGATATATATTTAATTGGTAGGGTAATAAAATTTGTTACAGGTGAAACATTTTTTTATTACAGTTTTCATATGATAATACTGCCTAATGTATTACCGTTAGGTAATGAATGAATGTACTGTCGCTGTAGTCCTGAAGTAATTACTTATAGTGCACTTTTCACTTCCAACACTGTCCTGGGTTGTAAATGAAATTACACACTGGCCCTATTCATACTGGTGTCAGTATGCAGCTTCTAATATCCCTTATACCTCCTTACTTTTACCCTAATACCTACTACTCAAAAACCACTCAGATCCTTCAACAATCGACAAATCCAATGGAAGCCATATTTAAATGCAAAAGACAAGAGTCCAAATAAGTTTACTATAACAGCACCAAACAGGTACATAATGGTATAATTCGTCAGCCCAATTCAAATATTTTGTATATTTCTGGTCCCTTTAGAAGACTGTATGAACAAAAGCCCACCTGTCATATACCTCTTGCCTCTGCCTCCTAAATGCACCACCACCACTCAGCTACGGTACATTTTTTAGTAATTAGTTAATTATTTTCTAAGGTAGTATTTCTGACATAAAAAGCAACACTAATATGCAGTAAGAGTTTCCCACTTACCCACAAATGCTCCAAATTCTATGTTATCCCCTTCTGCAGCTTTATAGAAAGCGGGTTCTGGATCTTTGGTTGCAGATTCCAAGTGGCTTTTGCAACTTGGCTGGGATGGGGTACTCACAGAAAATTTGGTTGGTGGGGATGACATCTGCGGTGAACTATTAGGTGAACTGCCTACTTTTTGATTTTTATTAAATATTTTTAAGATTTCTACCCCATGTCGCCTCTGTCGTAATTCTGGGGGAGAAACAGCACTTGGGAATAAGGCACCACAGGAGGAACCAGCCTCTGGAATGTTGAATTCTTTTCTCTGGGGTATCATAGGCAAATCTTGACCAAACAGGTTATACTGGGGGTCTTTTTCATCCTTCATAAAGATGTTACAAAGAAAAGGATTATTACTTTCCCGGTCACCTTGAGGAAGAGAGGAACTCAGGGTATTTACGACACTCTGCTTTTTCCACAGAGGTCGTACAGGAACATCATCAATAAGATTCTGAGCCAAGTGTTTTGAAACACTCAATTCTCGTGTGATCTCATTGTGCACTTTGCTAGCTTCTGAAGCTTTCTGGGCTGTAAGTGTTTTTAACGTATCTACTGTCAGGGCTGAGAGATCTTGCAGATGACCGATTTGAGAATCTAAAGACTGTAACGATCTTTTTATGTAGTTGACACGATCTCCAACTTCTTTAATCTGAATGCACATCTGCTCCACTCTGTAGGGGATAAAAAGAATTTTACAAATGTTAAAATTAATGTAGATGGGACAAGGAGATGGCTCAATGGAGAGCAAAGTTTGAGCTCAGCAACTGATGTAGGTGCATAAGGAGAGAACATCTTTGCAAGGCTATCCTCTAATGTCTATACTGCAGCCACAGCATACGTGGGCCCCACTTGTTATATATACACAGGCACAATAATTTTTTTCACAATAATATAGACTATTTTTTGTAGTCTAAATTGATGATAGAAGTAAGACAAACTACTTTTTAAACAAATGAATGCAAACATAAAGTATGGTTATGAGCTTTTACACATCACACTTTGTGTTTCAGAAGGATGTAGTGCTAATGCTGACATAGTTAAAATACAAATGTTTCTGTTTTGTTTTGAAGACAGGGTTTCTCTGTGTAGCCCTAGCTGTCTTGGAACTTCCCTGTAGACCAGAATGGCCTCATTTATGGCACTAAAGAGATCCCCCTAGCTCTACCTCTGAGTGCTGGGATTAAAGATGTGCACCATCACCACACAAAATTTAAAAACACATTTTGTTCCACAGGTTATTTCAGTCTACCACTCACAAAATATATTTATAGTTACATATAAAAAGGATGGTAATCACTGGTAATCACAACCACCATACACTGGTCATACACAAACACCACATGTGTCTAATATGAAGGAAAAACAACATAGAAAAAAGTTTTAAAATAGTAACAGCTTTATTTTTCTCTTCTTGAATAGTTAAAAACGCCAACTCTTCTTTGCAACTACAGTCAAAAAACAGGAGTACCCTAACCTTATTTATGAAGTGTGAGCCCTAACCTTGACCCCCAGCATCACTAAGAATAAAGTAAGGGGTTAGACAGGTTGTCCCGTGGTGAGACCACTTGCTGGTTTTTCAGAGGACCTGGGGTTTGAATTCCATCACCCTCACAGTGGTTCACACTGTCAGTAACTCCAGTTCCAGATCAATGCCTTCTGCTGACCTCCATGAGAAACATGCATGCAGATGGTACATACACACACATAGGCAAACACTCATAAATATAAAATAGAAATAAAATAAAAAAATTTATTTGTGAAAAGTAAAATAAGAACTTGGAGCAAGTTCTACTGGGTTACATAGAGTAAATATAACCAACTGACCTGTTTTCTAAATGTGTGTAAAATAAAACTTTTTACTTGATAAAATAAACTCAACAATGAATATGTATTCACTAACAGGATTCTTTCTAACACACAGTCAGTAACAATTAAAGAGCATGCAAACCTTTCAAAAGTGACACGGATTCTCTCTTCACTCCCAGAATGGAATTTGTCATCTTTTTCATCAAAATACATTTCAACACACTGCTCTTCAAAGTCATGGAGTTTCTTTTGATCTTCTTCTGTTAAGAAAAGTTCTAAGGAGGAGAAACCCAGAAGGAAATTAGAACACGAAACAAAAACAATGAAGGCTATCCAACAGGTTTTTAGCCTCTCTCTCCTTCTTTCTTAATACACAGGGTCTCTCTACAAAGCCCTGACTATCCTAGACCTCACTATGTAGACCACACTGGACTGGAACTCATAGACACCCTTCACCTGTCTCCAAGTGCTGGGATAAAGGCATGAACTCCCAACAAGTTTTAGGTATCTTCTTTACTTTTACTTTCCCCTGCCTTACTATGCCTCTCCTATTTCTCTCTTAGCTCTCCTGTCATATATCTTATCACAGAAATAAAACCATGATAAGTTTAAGCACAACTGACATGGTGATGTACCCCAGGTTGTATTAAGATGCACTAAATTTGTCTGCTTATAGAATGGCTTCTAGAATAGGTAAAATGATATAGCTTACATTACCATTTAAACAACAAGAACAACAACAACAACAACAAAAAACCCTGAAGTACCATTTCCTCCCAGAATGTTAAATATTAAGTTGACTTTTATGCATCATATTGCTTTGCTTTTGTTTAAATGATCAATAATTTATTCTGAGGCCAAATACAAATTACCATGGCCCCAAATCAAGAGATTTAGGTTACTCCAAATTCCATGTTCAAACATGAAAGCAGTTTCATTAAGTTTTTATACTAACAGACGGAGAAAGTCATAAATCAAGGCATTTTTTCAGATACACACTTTACCTTTTGACTGGTAGAATATTACGGTGTAAAAGTCAAAACATTTTCAAAAAATTTATCCATAGTCAGGATGTTAGGTCCAACACAGTGTGTTGGGGGGGGGGGGGGGAGCTTCAAAAAGCAGCTATTTACCAGACTAAAAATATCCCAAGGTAAGTAAATTGTAATTAGGCTCTTAACCAGTAACACTCAAAACTCCCTGCAGTCACTGACATTTTAATCAGTCAGTTAGCCTTTGCAGACACTGCTTCCTTCCTGAAATTCTCCTTCACAGTTTCCCTGTTGTTGAAGCATCACATTGGTGCATGTGAGAAGTTGGTCATATATTATTATTAAATACTACACTATAAATTCCCACATAGCTAGGATGGATTATTCACAGTATCTAAAATAGATGAGGCTGAAGGACAGCAGATGCTGAACCAGATATGACTTTATGTCTCTGTAGTTGACATAACATTTACATGTGATATGTAACAGAAACATTATACTTAAAATAATCAAGAACACTATTTGGCTTAATAGAGTGAAAGTAGATGAGGAAAGCAGGCATCCTAATCAACCAAAATATCCTTGACATGCGTCATCATACTCTTTAACAGGACTGATATATTTTCCCTGTGTCTAGTTATTTGTACTTGTGAAATATTTGATGTCTGAAGCACTTGTAATAATCTACTTTTAATTCTACTCTTTCTCTTCTGGTTTGATTTCACAGCTATCACTTCATGTGCTTACTCTAATTCTGATAAAGATTGGTCTTTAACATCCAAGTTATCAAAGTTCTTATTTGCAGATACTCAAAGTGTACCTAAAAACTGTTTTAGGTGTAGGCAAATTTAAAGTTTTCAAAATAGTTAAAAAAAAAAAAAAAAAAAAAAAAAAAGAAAAGAAAATCAGCTGGGATGCTGTAATGCAAGCCTTTAATCCCTACACTCAGGCGGATCTCGGAGTTCAAAGCCAGCCTGGCCTACAGAGTGAGCTCCAGGAGAGCAGGGCTACAAGGAGAGACCCTGGAAAACCAAAAGCCAGGTGGCGGTGGCACACGCCTTTAATCCCAGCAGAAGAGGCAGAGGCAGGTGGATCTTTGTGAATTTGAGACCAGCCTGGGCTACGGGGTGAGTTTCAGGACAGCCAGGGCTACACAGAGAAACCCTATCTTTTGAAACCCTGTCTCAAAAAACCCCAACAATCAAATAAAAAAACGACCCACCACCAAAACCAAAAAATCCTCTACACTTAGCATTCAGTATGATATCTAGAATCAAGAAAAATCTTTCATTTATTTTACTTACTTGGCCCATCAGAAGTCTTATCTTTCTTTCTTCTTTTACATACACAGCAAAACAGTGAAACTATATGGCTAAGAATGATAAGCGGAGGAGGCAGAACTGGTTTTTCATGATAAGCCATAATAAAATGGTAACGCTGATACTTCCATACAATATTGGAAATTGCCTTCACTTGTAAATATACATTACTAGAATGAACAAAAACAAACAATTATATCTTGCACATATATGCACACACATCCCCCCACACCATCATCACCCCCAACATTTTTAGTCTTAGCTACAAAAAGATACCCTAACTTATCAAGTGAGTAAAAATAAAACCTAGATTCTCTTATATACTATTAAAATGGCAACTATTATGAAACATAAGATAGGTCTGGAGAGATGGCTCAGAGGTTTAGAGCACTGGTTGTTCTTCCAAAGGTCCTGAGTTCAATTCCTAGCAATGACCTGGTGGCTCACAACCATCTGTAATGAGATCTGGTATCCACTTCTGACATGTAGGCATTCATGAAGGCAGAATACTGTATATATTATAATAATAATAACAATAAATAAATCTTTAAAATATTTATAATAATATAATAAATAAATCTTAAAAATATTTTTTATTAAAAAAAAAGAAAACATAATACAACAGGAAGTTAGGCTTACAGCTTGATTCTGACTTAAAGTTAAACAGCCCTAGAAGTATATATCCTCATCAGTTCTGCACATTTAGTGGGGAAAAAAAATTACAATCTAATTGAGCAGTTTAATATACTGGCTTGAAATAGGCTCTAGGTCAAGGAGAATGACACAGCAATTAATAACTGACAAATGAATATGAAGTTTTTCTTTTTTTAGCTTTCATTCATATTTATTATTTATTAGATTTAAATTAGTATAATATCTGTTGTTGAGACAGTTTTATGTAACCTGGGTTGACTCCCAAATCATTTTGTACGTTCAGAGATGGCTTTGAACTCATAATTCTTCTCTACCCGACTCCCAAAAGCTGGGCTTACAGGAGTGTACTACCATGTTCGCATTAATTTAGCTATTATATGACTGCTTTCATCACTAAGCAATTCTTAATCTAATGTCTGTACTTTCAAGTATATGTATCTCTTAGTAAAAATAAGATAAAATGTATGTCTTTTAAACGAAAGCAGAAAGATCAATAGGTAAAGATGAAGACCTCTGAGTACACAGATCATATTGTGTTTCCTTATCATGGTTTTTAAAGACAAGTATCAAGTATCATTTAGTGAGAATAGATGAAAACAAAAATCCAATCTGTCTGAGCAGGTGTAAGTTGGAGGCTGTGGGGGAAAAAAATGTACAAAACAGTGATAGAATGCCCAATGCTTCACCTAACATGAAGGAAAAAAGGTTACTGGGCCGGATGGTGGTGGCACACACCTTTAATCCTACCACTCTAGAGGCAGAAGCAGGCAGATCTCTGTGACTTTGAGGCCAGCCTGGTTGACAAGATAGCCAGGGCTACACAGAGAAACTGGGTAAAAAAAAAATAATAATAATAAAATAAAAACAAAAACAAATAACAACCCCCCCAAAACAAAAAACCTAACTAACTTAAAAAAATGTAAGATTATTTTGAGAATCACAATTTATATCTATTTATTGTGGAGAAAGGGGAACCCTTCTCCACTGCTGGTGGGAATGTAAACTGGTACAACCACTCTGGAAATCAATCTGGCGCTTTCTCAGACAACTAGGAATGGCGCTTCCTCAAGATCCAGCCATACCACTCCTAGGCATATACCCAAAAGAGGCGCAAGTACACAAAAAGGACATTTGCTCAACCATGTTTGTAGCAGCTTTATTTGTAATAGCCAGAAGCTGGAAACAACCCAGATGCCCCTCAACTGAAGAATGGATGCAGAAACTGGTACATCTATACAATGGAGTATTACTCAGCAATGAAAAATAAGGAAATCATGAAATTTGCAGGTAAATGGTGGGACCTGGAAAGGATCATCCTGAGTGAGTTGTCCCAGAAGCAAAAAGACACGCATGGTATATACTCACTCATATAAACATACAATATAGAATAAACCCACTAAAATCTGCACATCTAAACAAACTAAGCAAAAGAGAGGACCCTAACTAAAATGTTCAATCCCCATCCTGAAAGGCAAAGAGGATGGACATCAGAAGAAAAAGAAAATAGGAAACAACCTCGGAACCTGCTACAGAGGGCCTCTGAAAGCCAGAAGAAAACAGGAAACAACCTTGAAACCTGCCACAGAGGGCCTCTTAAAGCTTCTGCAGTATAGACTGTCAAAGCAGATGCTGAGCCTGATGGCCAACTGATGGGCAGAGTGAATGGAATTCTATATAAGAAGTGGGAAATAGTAAGAGCTGGAGGGGACAGGAACTCCACAAGGAGAGCAACAGAACAAGATAATTTGAACACAGGGAACTTCCCAGAAAATCATACTCCAACCAAGGACTATTCGTGGAGATGACCTGGAACCCCTGCACAGGTGTAGCCCATGGCAGTTCAGTGTCCAAGTGGGTTACATAGTAATGGGAAGAGGGACTGCCTCTGACATAATCTGATTGGCCTGCTCGTTGATCACTTCCCCCTAAGGGGGGAGCAGCCTTACCAGGCCACAGCAGAGGACAATGCAGCCACTTTTGATGAGAACTGATAGACTAAGATCAGAAAGAAGGAGAGGAGAACCTCCCCTATCAGTGGACTTGGGGAGGGGCATGCATGCAGAAAGGGGAGGGAGGGTGGGATTGGGAGGGGAGGAGGGAGGGGCTTATGGGGGGATACAAAATGAATAAAGTGTAATTAATAAAAAATAAAAAATAAATTAAAAAAAATGCATGACTTCAGGGGTAATTTCAAAATCCTCTATTTTCTCTGCCTACATTTTATTCTCTATAGTATGTTATGCTGTATTACTTGTTAACTGAATAAATGAATGGATTTTATCACACAAAAAAAATTAAAACATTTTTTTCTTATGAATTCCATATGATGGTGTATGAGCAGAAGTCTCTTCACCATGCAGGTCCTGGGGAATCAAACTCAGGTCATCAGACTTGTCAATAAGCACCTGTACCAACTCATCTCACCAGTCTTTTGTGGTTTTTGTTTCCCCAAAGGTTATATTTATAAACAAGCTACATGTTGAGTGACGAGACAGGCAGACCACACAGCCTCACTGGATAGGCAGCTTAGCCAGACTGAAAACCTCCAGGTTGAGTGAGAGCTTTTAAAAATAAGGTACAGGGCTAGGGAGTTAATAGCACTGGCTGCTCTTTCACGATTTTGATTCCCAGCACCCACATGGGAGCTCACAATAGTTCGTAATTCCAGTTCCACGGTACCTGACACTTCCTTCTAGCCATTGTGGGTACTGCACAAATGTGAAACAGACATGCAAGCAGGCAAAAAACACCTGAACATATACATAAATGGAATTAAAGACTGAATGAATAAATAGGTCAACAAATGATCAACAAGGTCACCCAACATCTGCCTCCTGCCTCCATTTAACACACATACTCACAGGTACACGAACGAACATATACATATAACACACACATTTTATGGAGAAAATAATAAAACCTAACATTTAGAATTCCTTTAATCTGAAAATTTTATTTTCAGATTATTTGCAATTTTTCATGGATAATTTAATACTTTAAATCTCAATAAAACTGGGATTTAAAAACTGAGTATCTCATTCAAAATGAGAACTGTAACAAATAAACTAAGTAAATAAAACTCTTACTTGAAAAATGCAATAAGGAGATTAACCATAATGATATACTGTACAAAGAGGTAGACTGCTTGAAGAAATGGAGTCAACCATGTCCCAGGACCACAAATTTCCTTGATAGTGGAATCATTTGCACACACTTTGGGAAGAGAGAAAAGAATTTTAAATATAATAGATCAGGGTTCTTTGTCTTAACAGAAAATTTTGAGCACATGCAAATCTGATTAAGAATTTTAAAGAAAAGGATCTCTGACAGGCAGCCATTGGCGCTCTGCCTTACAAGGACTCCGACAATGAGGGATGTGTGTTCTGTTCTAACAAACCACTGCACTGCAAGCAAGGGTATTACATGTTCTATCTACCTGTATGCAGACTTACACTGAGGGTAAAGGCAGATAAAACCTCTGGATACAGTGAAACGGTAACATTTATGTAAGAAAAATATCTGAACTTAAAAAGCATATGACAGATGCATAGTAAGCCCTAAGAAGTTACAATTTATCCCTAAAGAGGATTAAAATGTATTTTAAATATAAAATTAACAAATTTGGGGTGTAAAGAGATGACTAAATGGTTAAAAGTGAGGATCCTAGCTTAGTTCCCAGCACCCATGTTGGGTGGCTCAGAACGTGTGTAACTCCAGCTTCACGTGGGTCCCATGCTTCTGGCCTCCACAGGCACCTGCACTTAGATATACCCACATACAGACATACAAATACACACGATTACAAATAAATGTAGATACTTTAAATTACTAGAATTGAATTTCTTGTTTTTCATTATTCATACCTGAAATCTTTATTAAGCTAGAACCCTAAACACAAGCAAGGAAGTGAAGAGTTTTAATACCCACCACAGTTATATAACAAAATTCAATTGGGTAGGGAAGGGATGAAAACAATCATGAATTAGGGAGAATTCTATATATACACTTAGTAGTATGCTTACAGTTAGTGTTTAGTTATTATTTTAAAATGAGCACATTACTGAAGTCATCATCATCAACAATATCCATTTAAGAGGCTTTGTAGTCCAAACTGAACTGCTGTTTTGTGAATTAATAAATATCTTCATTGTCTAGGACAGTTAGGATATAGTTCTACTACATATGGTTGAATAATTTTCAAAATACTTTTCAATCCATATTTTGGTTTTTGCTGTTAACTAAAGCATATGCTTAAGTTTGACTGGAAAATATGCAATATTTTTAGAATGCAATTCTGACTTTATAAAGATGATTCTGGAAGGAGAGGAGGACTTCCCCTATCAGTAGACTTGGGAAGGGGGAGGGAAGGTAGGATTAGGAGGGGAGGAGGATGGAGTTTATGGGGGGGGATACAAAGTGAATAAAGCGTAATTAATAAAAGTTAAAAAAAGAATGGAAAAAATAAAGTTAAAACAAGTTTTAAAAAAAAGATGATTCTGAAAACATAAATTCTTACCATCAATTTCATATGCATAAACTTCACCAAAAATCATCCAGTATGGATGAAAAACTATATCTTTAGCAAGAGACCAAGATGGTGCTTCGTGTGGATAAAGGATTGCCTTTCTGGGAACACCAAAACTAAGTAACACAAGAGCCATTATCACTACAATGTAGAACATATTTGCCACCTGTTTAAAAAGCAAAACAAAACTTGTTAAGACACAGAGAGTTTAATTCCTACAACAAATATCATCTTAAAAAGTGTTTTTAATGCTCTAATAGATAAGTAGGATATTTGAGTTTCCATTTATTGCTGGTAATAGCATTCAGGAAAATATTTTGATTGCATAAACCTGATGAAGGAGATTGTATTAAAAATAACTAGTAAAACTAAGCAAGTCACAGGCATCTTTCCTTGTTTCCATAATAGATTATATCAATAATTCAAAATACAGCTTATCTGACAAATACAAGATGAATCCAAAACTACTGTTACATGGGCAAACTTGGATTCTTAATTCTAGTAAATGACAATTCTTAACACTTGTCACATAGTAATAGAAATGCAGATTTTCCTCTACCTGTCCTCACATAACTGTACTTGGCTCATTTCTAGAAGCCAGAATAAAGACATGTACCACCATGCAAATCTTCAAAAGAAAGAAATGTAAAGGCCTTTATGAGTACAGCAAAGAGGCCAAGAACATATGAGATAAAGCTTAAATGGAAGAATGGAGATAATAACCTTTGGAGGAAGTAAGACAAGGCTACCAGGATTTTTATTATTTCTTACAACCCCATTTGTAATTATCTCAAAACTAAAGGAAAAGGATAAAAGCAAAAAAGAGGAACAGACGGAGGAAGGGACAGAGGGCTCGAAAGAGAGTGTGCAGGGAGGGAGATAATGAAGGAAAGGGAACATGGGTTAGTATTGGTGAGAGCCCCGTCTACAAAGAATAAGATGGTGACAGAAGATATCCAATGTCACCTGTCTACCGCATGTGTGCATATATACCCTCACACACATGTACACACTACAAACATACTTCACAGAAGCACACATACTGATGAAACATCTTTAAGGAATAGCAGGTTCAGAGTAGGAAGCAAATAAACATGAACTAACAAATTTGTGGGTCCAAGGAAAGCTATATTAGAATATTTTTTATGGCTTTTAAGAAACAATTCATGCATATTAGCAGATATTTCAACTTACCATTTTTCCAATCATCATTACATAAGGTCCTGCCTGTTGATTTACAGCTAGAAAATCTAGCAAACGCACATACCAAAATATTATATTAAGACAGTAAATTAATCTTCCAGCCACAAAAACATGATTGTCATATGCATTCATAAAGTTCCATTTTGCTCCAAATCTTAGTCCAAATCCAATGAAGAAAGAAATTATGGCAATTGTGTCACTAACATTGAAGTAGTCACTAAACCACACTTTAATCTTCTGGCTGATTTTCCCAGCTTCAGACATAAAGACCTAAAGGTTTAAGAAGAAAAAAGGTTGACTCAAATCCTTCCTATTAAATCATATATAGGAGCTGATCATAACACCACAGAATAATTTTAATGTTTTAATCTTAATGTTTCAAAGAATCTGTGATTGTGTCTTGTAAATGAAGATGCGTTTGATAATAAAACAGTACAATAACAGATAAGATTCTCTACAGGCAGGTATGATGGGAAATACCTTTAATCCCAGCACTAAGGAGGCAGAGACAGGCTACACTGGCAGCCAGGGCTTACAGTGAGAGCCTGTCACAAAAACAAACAAACAAACAAACAAACAACCATATAAACAAGACTTTCTTATAAATGAATGATTTGCTCAGCAAGGTGATAAACTAGGAAGGTGAAACGTGAAATGATTTTGAAATGTTTTATTTAATGTCAAAGCAGCAGGCTGAAGAGTTGGCTCAGTGGCTAAGAGTACTGTCTGCTCCTGCAGAGGACCCAGGTTCAATTCCCAGCAGCCACATGGCAGCTCACAACTAACTCCAGTTCTAAACATTTCTTTAAGGAAAGAAAAGACTGTCCCCCCCCCCCCCCAATTAGCATGTTACACAGTTGAAGGTTTTAAAGTGGAAAAAGAAGAGACACAGAAATAAACTCAACTGATGACTCAGTGGGCAACACAGGACACTCCAGTGGGTATACAGCATAAGCACAAAATGCAACCTACCTTTCAAGTAACTGACTACCTAACATGTACAGTCAATATTTCTGAAGAATGTTAGAGATCATGTGAAACTTGAGTAAGTAAGATAAAAATACAATCAATACTGAGAAAAATTATTATATTGTAATGGTGGCAAAGTGAACATAATTTATTGACAACCATTTTTTTGTTTTGTTTTGTTTTGCTGAGATATGGTTTCTCTGTTATTATCCCAGCTAGAACTTGCTCTGCAGACCAGGCTGCCCTTGAACTCAGAGATCAGCTTGCCTCTGCCCCCCAAGTGCTAGAATTAAAGGGGTATATACCACCATGTCCGGCTTAACTTTTTCTTTTTAAAGAAATACAGTTTTCAGAATAGCAAATAAACATGCTCCATACCCACACCCTCAATAAAATTAAGGAATCCCGCAAACACACATAAGTTACTGGTAAGAAAAGCTGTAGACATACCTCACGGATTTTTTCAATAGCATACGTAAAAATATAAGCAATAACAATCCATTCTTGAACTGAAGGTAGCTGTTCCATTTGTACAAGAACTACAAATGTATAAAGCATCAGAAATCCTAAGTATGCCAACTAATAAAAAAAGAAATAAAAGTTACATGAATAAAATTCATTAAAAATAAAACATATTACGGACATTTTCATGTAGACAAAAAAAAAAATCCAATCTGAGCTAGGTAGGCTACGTAAATGTAAATGCATGTGGCCACCTGAGCTGGTTGTTGTAAGCAGCCACTCACATGAGTGCAAACGTAAACAATCTTCATAATAGGACAGAATTTGGGTATCAGATAACAAAGATTTGCATTATCTGCATCTAGGAGGAACAAGATATTTTCATATATACAAGAAATGTAATAAATTAATCCCAGGGCATAAGGGGTTAAGTATGACTAAGAAAGCATAGATGAAAGGAACAAATTCTTAAATATTTATCCTAACACAAAACCATTTGTCAACTTTAGCAAATGCTTAATATTAATGAAAATGAACAAACATACATTCTCTCAAGCCAGGTATGATGGCACCAGCATCAGAAATTCCTAAGCCCAGCACTTGCAAGGTAGAGGCAAGAGGATCAAGAGTTCAAGACCAGCCTTGCTTACATAGCTAGTTCAAGATCAGCCTGGTTACAAGAAACTCTTTTTCAAATAACCCAAAATCATCTCCGATGAAGCCTGTGGTTTAAAGGAGGGGCTAGTTTCACGTGTTTTTTCAGGTATGTTCCTCTCTAAAGGATGCCCCCAACAAGACAGCCAACTAGATGGTTTTAGAGAGTCAACAATGAGTAAAAATATTTCAACATATGAAAACGTTCCTCTATGATTTATGCTTTTGTCAATACATTTTCTACGGACTAGGAGAAAGGTCAGTGCAGGACAGCAATGGAGCACATGCTTACAGAAATAGCTACTGTAAATAAAGCCATGTGAGTAGTCTGGGTTACTCTTTGCCTTCTCCTTTAAAGTAGCAGACTTAGAAACACTTCTGTGTGCTATCTGCACAACCCTAAAACACAAATTACAAATGTATTGGTTTTTTTTAATTGACCTTTCAGAACTGTTTTGTTTTTATTATGATGCATTATAATGACTGTGTGTGTGTATGTATGGTGTGTGTGTATCATACAACACACATTTGAAGGTCAGAGGAAAACACTGTGGAACTGGTTCTCTCCTACCTTTACAGCCATGCTGCTGGCTATCAGCATTGCTTTAGATTTTCTCCACTTCCATCAAGTACTGGGGGTTGAATGTAGGGCCTCACAAATGATAAGCATATAGCTCTAACACTGGGCTGTAGTCATAACTTTATTTATTTAGGTTTTGAGACAGAGTTTCTCTGCAGAGTCCCACCTGTCCTAGAACTCACTCTACTAGGCTGGTCTTGAACTCAGAGATTCACCTGCCTCTGCCTCGTGATTGCTGCAATCAAAGGCATGCGCCACCACAGCTTGGCTCACAACTTTATTTTTAATAGATGATTTGTATGTTACCTTTTATTTGTTTGTAGTTTTTGTTTGTTTGGTTTTTTTTTTTTTTTTTTTGGAGAAAAGATCTATTATGTGGTTTTGGCTGTCCTGAAGCTTATAGACAAAGATGGCCTTGAACTCCCAGAGGTCCACATACTTCTACCTCCCAAGTGCGAGGGAGTAAAGGCATGTGTCACGACAAATGGCTTTTATTTGTTACCTTTTAGAAAAGCATATACTATATTATTTAATAAAGTTTTATTCTTAATCAGAACTAAAATTTGTTAGTGCTTATTATTCTTAGACATTAGCAGCTTAGATGAAAGTAAGCCAAATGTAACACTCTTTTAATAAGTAATATATTTTCAGTCATTTAAATTATATGAAGATTAATATGGAGTCCTGACTAAAAGCTCTCTAAAAAGCATCTTTAAAAACACTATGCTCTTCCCAGAAACAAATAAAACCAATAAACCAACCCCCCCAAAACAAACCATGAACATAACTATTTAAAAACATACCGTGTTAAACCAGAACTTTACAATTGGTGCATGATAAAAGGCATAAAACTTTCGTGTGATTGGAAGCTTTTTTGATTTAATATGTATTTCCATTTCATTCTTTCCTTCACTGCTATCCAAAATCTTTACTTCTTTAAACACTTCCTAAAATTAAAAATATGTGTTTAGCTTCTATTTAACTCATAATAAGCTTACATGTGCTCTGAAGTCTTTTGTCCTTACCATGGGTATCTCTTCTGTTATGTTGTGAAAATTGTTTTCACTATCCTCCATAGTCATTTGATGAGCATCTTGAGATTGTGGAATATGGGACATTTCAGCCTTGGTTTTATACTCTAGCATTAAAATGGCAGGTGGAACTAAAATGCTTAATATGACCTAAAATTTTTAGAAATATAAGTGTGCATTTTAAAATCAATGAACTTTATAAATACAATAAATAATACAGAATAATAACTTATGTATTAAATATCTTGAGCGCTATTTTACCCTAATACTGTAGAAAAAATTAAAAATTAAGTTTTCTTTACACACTATATCATCTGAATTATTATGATAGTGACAGCATGGGTTTAATAAGCAGTACAGACTTCCTTTAAAAATATCAGTATAATTTGTTAAAAAATTCAAACAGTATGAAGGTGCTATTATTTACCTCAGACCTCTCTGTTAACTGCCCCATGCTCCATGAAGGAGAACTTGTTATAAAGGTATAAACCAGAACTTATTTCTAAAACTTTCCATAGCATAAAATCTTCTGCCCTCTAATTTTGTACTGTATTAGGAGATGTAGAAGGGAGTTAAAGAGAAATTTAAATTAGTATTTCACAAATAACAAACTGAAAGGACTAGCTATCTTACCCAAAGTCCTAAGCTAAAACCCTGCACACACTGATACACTAATCTGTACTATAAACTAGAACATGGATGCATGTACTCAGTACATTTCAAGTAACTAAGTTAGCAGACAATATGTCTGGGATTTTAGAATACAGAAATCCTTTCAAAGGCCGGTAAACCTACAGAGCTACTTGGTGAATAAATGTCAAATTCCCTATTTACTGTCTTCATACTTTTAGCTGAGAAAAGGGCAATAATCATACACAATTAACAAATATCCAATATTTAAGAACAGATGGAGAAAAGTATGTTATCCAACTTGGGATGAAATATCAAGGACCCATTTCTTCCTTCACGTTCTAATTTCCCTCCATTACCCTTGCAAATTGTTTTACTACAGATGTGTACATTAATTTGCATGTACTTTGTATCTCATACTTTAAATCTAATTATTTTTAAGATATACCTTATACCAGGAATTTTTTCTCATATTCAGCCGTCCCATCCACATATCTGATAACAACATCTGCGTACAAGTATGAGCTACAAAAGGTCTAAGTCTTGAAGAAACTGCTAACTTAAGGCAGGTTGAGTTACTCCAGTTTTTCAGTTCGTAAGTGAGTAATTTCATAGCCATGGTTTCATCTTGTCTGAAGGATTGTTCTAGTAATTCAACTGCAAGTTGGCCAAAATCACTATAAAATAAAACAACAATGAAACCCTAAAGTATACTCAGATAAAGAAATTATAGTTGTTTTGTTTTTGGCTGAGAGTCAAACATCTTTAAGCACTTTAGATGGAAACTCTACTATGATCCCTAAACAAAAAAATAAATAAAACGTAACTAAAAATCAGAGAAGGAGAGATGGTTCAGCAGTTAAAAGCACTAGCTACTCTTCCAGAGGGCCCAGGTATAACTCCAGCACTCACATGGTGATCCACAATTATCTGTAACTCTGTCCCAGAATATGACACCCACTGCTGGCCTCCTTGCACATCAGACACACAAGAGGTACACAGACATACAAGGAAGCAAAATAGCCATAAATATTAATTTAAAAAATATTTTTTAAAAAATCTCTACTACTGAGTTTATCTACACTCCCAGGCTACAAAGAGCAATTTTAACCAACTACTCTTAAATTATTTTTTAACTTTATTGTTTCCTTTAATATTTACTTATTTTTATTTATTTAATTTATTTTTTATGGGTATGTGTGTCCCTGAGTGTGTATGTACGCTACAAGTGTGCAGAGGCCACAGAGGACAGAAAAGGACATGAAAGCGCCTAGAACTGGTGTTACTGGGAG